TCATCATTAACTGCAGTATAGGGACTCTAAAACATGCCTTTACTTGACAGACTGACCCACTTAGAGCTGTAATTATGCCAAAATTATAAAGAATTATTAATATTTTAATTTAAGATTTAAAAAAAGCTTTTTCATCTGTCAATATGCTCTATTCAGAACTCCTCTAGTGGAAAAGTTTTAGTTTCAGCTGGTTTAATTTCATAAAAAAAACTATTTTTTAAGGAACCTTTGGCTATCTGATTATTGGTCGATTCATCGGTAAAAATAATCGACACATTATTCGATTTGCAAGCCCCAGTTTACAGTAAAAATATTTCACAATAGAATAGTCAATTACACTAGATTGCAAATATTCCAATCAAATCTTGTAACCAGGAGCTGGTTGACAGTTGCCTTTTGTATCTATTCTTCTTTTTCTATGTCTGCTTTTGTCTCCTTGAACCCCAGTTGACCTTGGCAGATGGCTGCTAACCCTGTTCTGCTGGAGGTTTCTTCTTGATAAAAGGAGGTTTTTCCTCTCCACTGTCGCTACATGCATGCTGTAATAAACTGGTTTTCCTTAGATAGATAACTTTGAATCAATTTGACTGTATGATCTGGTTGAATTGTAAAGTTCCTTGAGGTTACATGTTTTGTGTATTGGCGCAATGTGAATAAACTGAACATAATTTAATTATTGTGAAAAATACTGATTTTTATTTGGAAAAGTTGCAGTAAAATCCTGGTCATACCTTACAGTTTAGATGATTGAATAGGAGTTAGATAACATCACCATAGGCGTTGAATATCGCAGCAATCCCTGTACAATTTCTTGTCTAGCAATGGTAAGAAAACCATGAAGATAATGTATTTCTGTAAAAAAAAAAAAAAATAGGTTAAAAGTTCAAGTAAGTTTGTGGAACCTCATTCAGGTAAATAGTTTTTTTTATTTTTCAGGGTCTGTCAGTGTAAATAGAGGAAGCCACCTGAGAGAGTCTGTCATTAACAAACCCTTCCCCTCTATGAGCAGCAGGAAAAAAGCTTTTAAAGGAAAGACAGTTGGGTTGGGCTTCTCACTGCTCTTAAGATCATACAAGCAGTGAAAAAAACCTCTACACCACTACCTGACCCAGTTACAGCATGGATGCAGGTGATTTGATAGAATCTATCAGAGTGATCATGTTCATAGCTGGGATCCTGGGAAACAACTGGCTGGCTATAACGTCTCTTCCAAAGAAGAAATCTGAAATCCGTACAAATGAGATCCTGTTGATCAACCTTGCCGTCTCCAACCTCATCACCAACTACCTGGTGGATGCACCTGACACCATAGCTGACTTTGTTGGCCAATGGTTCATGGGGATAACGTTCTGTGGTATTTTTCGCTTTTGTGCAGACCTCTCAGAAACCAGCAGCCTCTTCACAACCTTCTTCATCTGCGCCTACTGGCATCAGAAACTGGTCGGTTCTCTTAAGCGTGGAAATGCACCAGTGCAGCTGGACAACCTGCGCCTGGTTGGGTGTCTGCTGGCTGGGAGCTGGACACTCTCCAGCGTCTTAAGCTTTCCTCATTTCTTCTTCGTCTCATTGGAGGGAACTAATGAGAGCCATGAAGACTGCATCGATTTCTTCCCCGATGCACTTTCCAGGCAAATATATGAGATCTGTTTTTTAACTCTGGCTAATGTTTTGCCTGTTGCAGGGATCATGGTTGCATGTGTCCAGATTATTGCAACTTTGCTCCAAAGCCAGAAGCGTATTCAGAGCCATTCTTCCAATCCAGCCAAGATGACAGTTAAAGAGAATCCAGAAAGATCAGTAAGCAATCTTTCTGTTGAAGATCCATTCAAAGAACATAGAAAATCTTCTTTACTTGTTCAATCAGGTACAGCTGAGCTTGTTTCTTCTGGTCTGGATGGAGGGTTCCTGGGTAAGACTCCACACAGTTCTCCTTTAGCCAACAAAAGAGCAGAAGTTCAGCCAAACCTCTCAAGGCCCAGCCAGGTACCCTCTAAGAGGAGTCCCAACTCACACTCTCATGCCAGGGCAGCAATGAGCGTAGTGGCTGTGGCCACTGTGGTCCTAATCTGTTGGGCGACTCATCTACTTCTACGCATCACCAACTACATCCAGACTTCACCACTGATGGTGGAGCTGGCCAGTCACATCGCAGCTTCCTACACTTGCATCATCCCTCATATATTTCTACATGGAGCGAAAAGGCATCACTGCCCATGTAAATTATAGAAATGTAAAAACATGCAACATTTATGTCTAAAAATATGACAGTAAGGTCCAGTAAATAGATCTGCTGTAATGAGGCTCAGGAGCAGCAGACGTTATGATTCAAATGATCTGTTTTTAAATTATCTATGACAGTAAGCATTACATCTGTTATTACATAGAGACCAATAAATGAGTGAAAATGTAAAAGTTGATACAAAATCAATAGTTTTCGCTAAGTGATTGATCACTGCAAAAATTATATACTTCAGGTAGTTTTTTGTCAAAAGTCATCACGGATAAAAATGTTTAGTTTATGAGAAATACAAGTATTTATTTATATTCATACCTATGTTAAATTTCCAGGTTTAATGCCCTTAATATTAGATATAACCTTTTTAAAATGTAAAATGAGCAATACTGCTCTCTCTGTGTAAATATTCTTGCATATATAAATATATTTTATTCTGTAACTTAACAGTCCTTTTATAACTTTGCTTATATTCCTATTCCTTTTATTGCACTATTTTCCTGCACTGTTTTGTTTTATATTGTTTTGAGCTGCTAAAATTTTAATTGTACCCTTGAGGAACAATGATAATTAAAGACTTAGGCTTAAAATCTTCCATACATTCTGAATAGGCTAACAAAGAAACCTGCAACAGTTAAGTTTGCAGGGTCTACACCCTGAAACATCTATTATTGAGGAACCGTTTGAAACATTCAGCCTTCTTGTGTTAAAGTCCCTCAGTATCAAAAGTATTGGCTTGGCTACATCTGCCCTCTCTACCTTACAGAGATTCCCTAATTATATAAGATTGTAAGGCCATATCTTTTTATCAGCCATCTTAAGGTTATCCTGCAGTTTATTTTTTATCAGATTAAAGAAACCACCCCTGTTGAGCTATTCCAAAACCTATTTTGTTTGTTTGAAAAGGTTAAACTATTCAGCCTGATAACTAAGATGAAGCAGTTGAACCACGGGTCTAGTTTAATGTGAATTTAAAGCTCTGTTAACACAAAACTGATATGGCCATGTGATGTCAAAATTAAGGTTTGATGGTTGATCATAAAGTGTTTAAACATGTTGAATATAAAAAAATACTGTCTTTATTAAATGTAAGAGACCAGATTCTTTCAATACTTACGTTTAGTTTGTTGTTACTTTATTAGAATTTTTGTGCTGTGATTATTTTTGCCCTTCTCATGACTGCTACCTTTGTGCAAAGGGGTCATTTCGATCTTTTACAACTTCAAGAAAATTCAACCATGATGGCTGAAATTTATTTACAGTTAATCAGGTTACAGGTGTCCACCCAGGTGTAACAGATTCAGACTGAAATCCGCAACTCTAAATTGATTTAGCCTAAAGTAAGGAACTCTGATTTTTCGGTTTCACAAGGACTGCTATCAATTAGTTCAATCAATGTTAACTTGGTCCACTCAGAGTTAATCGCATGCGTAACAAGTATGAAAATCCATTATCAGTGGAGCACCGATTTGACCAGTCACCATGACAACAGGCAACAGGAAGTGCCAATATCACCCCAATGGAGCTAGAGATTTTAATGCAGAAATGCAAAAAAAAATAAAATAAAATAAAATAAAAGAGAGAATGTGTTTAAAGGACAGAAAAAGCACTACTACTACAAAGGAGAGGAAGATGCAAAGGAGAAGATTGTTGCTTGAGTTAATGTTTAAGTTTATATGAAGTATCTATGGCAGGCCATATGTACATTTATTTAAAGCACTCCTCTCTGTTGTTTCATTTGTAGTTCACTAAAATAAGATTCTTCCTGATCAAAATCCCACTTCCAGACCTAATTGTAACAAAATATTTCCTAAATTACATTTTTGCAGCAGAAGCAAAATTTTTAATTATACTACTAAGAATGAAGTTTTATGTATCTAAAAATGTTTACACATTTTAAGTGGCCGCTCTGACATTTATTAGTTTGACTCAAAATGTATTCATATTTGAAAAAAGTTTTTTTCATAGTTAGAGTAACACAAATGCTGACCAGTAATCTTAATATTAGGAATATAAAGATCGGCAATTAATATGTAGACATTCAGAATGTTTATTCTAGATTTGGAGAATTTTAGTTAGTTTGAAATGGTCATTTAGACAAAGAAAACATTTTTTAGATATCAGGATTAGGGCTACATATCAAAACAGCTTGCCACAGAAGTCGTTACCATGAAAATTTTATGGGATTATTTCTTGAATGGTAGTAGATCAATGTATCTACCGTATTTAGGTGAAATCTTCTGGCAGCAGGTGAGGATGAAGAATAAAAGCGTTCTAAAACATTGCATGTGGATCATCTCCTGTGTCCCTCCTCATGTTGATTCAGTCTTCTTTTACACAGTAAAGAGGATGTTTGCAATCAAATGGCCATTATAAACGGCTATCAGTCCCATAGAAAGCCTTCAGATTGTGTCAGTAGTCTCAGTAGGTTATCAATGAATGAATCCTGATCCAATATTGTGGTTTCTGTTCTAAAAGGACGCAATCTCCACTAAATAATTCCTGTATTTACAAAACACCTGAGTGAAGTTGGCCCCCCCCACCTTCTTCAAATCAGACAAAAACAGTGTCAAACGTCTGTGCTACGTTTGTGCAGCAAAAACTTTCATTTGTGCCACTATCATTTTCAAGATATATAGAAATGTTTCTAGAGGTCATCAAAGGTCAACCAGCCCCCCCCCACCTTCTTCAAATCAGATGAAATGGATGTCGATTAACTCAGCTGTTTGTGCTGGTTTGTGCAGCAAAAATTGTCGTTTGTGCTACTTTGGCTTTGAAGATATTAATGAAAATAAAAAGGTCAAACAGTCAACCAGCCACCCCACCTTCTTCAAATTAGACAAAATTGGTGTCAAACGTTTGTGCAGCAATTAGTTTTGTTTGTGCCGCTACCATTTCAAAGATATAAAGAGATGTTTCTTTGATGACCTCTACAAAAAATATTAATATCAATAAAATGATAGCAGTACAAATGAAAATTGCCACACAAAAAATAAATTTTAAATATAAAATATTTAAAATAAATATATTTAGAATAAAAAAAATGCATATTTTGAAATATATAAATTTTTTGTACTGCTATCATTTTTATATTAATAATTGTTTGTAGAAGCCGTCAAAGGTCAGTGAGCATTTGTTCATTCAGAAACTCTGAATTTCATATAAATTTTAAGTTGCTAACCTATGATATCATTTTAACCTGTAAAAAAAAATGATAGCGGCACAAACGAAAATTTTTGCTGCACGAACGTTTGACACTAATTTCGTCTGATTTGAAGGTGGTGGGGGGGGGCCAACTTCACCCAGGTTTACAAAACTGTAATACAGACCTAGAAAGTTTTTAAACTATTTGAAATCATGAACTTTTGACATTATATTCCTTATCTAAATTAAACTTTACAATCCAGGTTCTCACAGCAACAAAAGGAGTTTTCCATAATAAAGCTTAACAATAATTATGCTCTAGAGTGCAGCTCAGTGGAGACTGTCAGTAATTAGTGCTTGTTAGTTTTAACTGTAGGAAACTGAACGAGTTCACAAATTAGATAATTGCAATGGATGATGAGCAAAGGAGCAACCTAGTCCTCCTTTCAGCTGATTACTTCAAGCTAAAATAGGGCTGTGCTTTAACCAGTGGCTAAAGGTTTTCCGGCTCATCCACAAAAGTCATGATAAGTTACCTTCCTTTTAAAAAGCTTTTATTGGTCCTCCAATTTGTCTCTGAATTTTTAGTGTAGGTGAAAACATGAACAGCACCAAGTCACACAAGCTCTTATACATCAAGCCACCACTCATTTACCATCAGCGCACACAGGTTTGGTAAAGATGACATTAAAGCCCAGTTATGTACATTAATACAAATTCAAATGTTACAATAAAGAGTTGTAACGTTTTTGCTGGGGTTGGTTATATTCAGCAACTGCTGTGGGGAAAATGCCCCAAATGAGGCTCAAATTAAACTAATTTTCCATAAAAGAAGCAGATGTCATGAATTTTATTGTACACATTATTCAATGTCCCACCATTTTCAGATATCAAACAGATATTTGCACACAATGCAAATTACATACTTTTCAAAACAGCAATGTTCCAACTAACAAAACGGTATGAAATAAGTTATAAAACTTGTCTCTTTGCCAATCTCTTCTCCCAACCATTCACAACATCTGCAACTAAAGAAACAGTCCGTTTAAGGCGAGCAGAGGAAGAGCCACAGGTCAGCCAGCTCTTTGTTGATTAAAAAGGTTTGCTCCTGTCAATGGAGCTTCTCCAGCTTGGCCTGCAGGGATTTAAAGTTGCCGATTGTGTGCTGAAGGGCTGAGTTCGGGCTCAGAGACTGCAGTTCCACCAGGTATCCGCAGATGTTGTCTAGGCAAACGTTGGTGAATCTGCGCCTGGGAAAAATGACAAAAACAGCATGCCGATGATGCAAGTTGTTGTTTCACTCTGCGAGATATCCCCCAAGCCTATTATTTTTGCTTGTTTCATAAATCTCTACGATAAATAATCCTTTAACCAACAGTGGCACTAGGATAACAGAACCAAAGAAACACAAAGACATGAAGTGGGTGGTTTTATGCAAAAGTTCAACGACAGTTTAAACTGTTGATGTTAGAAAGTGCTTGCTGTATGTTTATTCCACAGGCTTAATCTGGATTAATATATTGTAAAACTGCATGTTAAATGGATAACATTTTCCAGCAAATATTAGAAGAGAATTCTGAACTAGCAGCACCAACAATCTGGTTATCCTACAGCCTATAGTACAAGGATGGATGGTTAAAGAAGGAATGGATGAAGGGAAGGATTGACTCATTGACAAAAGGGTAGATTCAAAATAATAGATACATTGTTAGAAAGATAAACAGATAATGGGTAAAAGAACAAAAGAACACTTGGATGAAACAAATGAAAGGATGGATAGAAGGACTAAAGGATCAGTGCATTAATGAATGGATGGATGATATAAATTAGGATGAGATTCTATAAAGTC